ACTAATCTGGAATCGAGCTGGGTAGGACCACAAGGGCGGCAAAGCTCTCCCTCAAGAGTTTTAACACTGCTGTATTCCCAGGGCTCGAACTCGAGACCACTGATTAAGATGGAAGAAACCCAAGCCATCTCATCTAAGTGCTCTTGGGTTAAATATTCGTATATTATATCTGAATTAGACTTTTTTGTTAACTAATTACATAGATATGTTTGAAAAGGGTTGGGATAATTTAATTTAATCAATAAAATTTATAAATTCTAATAAATAATTATATATAAAAAATTAATTAAGTTGAAACATCATTTTTTTTTTATAAACTGGTGAAAAAATTAAATATCAAATTACAGGAGGGCATCTCCAATGGTAATAGCTATTACTAGCTATATGGTTAGCATGGATGTGAGAGATAAGAAAAATAACTATTTTACACTATTGGACTCACGTACTCCTCTCACATGATCTTGGGCTACGTGAAATAGATAAGCTATTTGTTAGTAGCTAGTGACTACTCTCTCTCTTACTTTTTCTCTGTCCACGTCATAATAGTTAGCCAAATAGCTAACCATTGAAGAAGCCCGGATAAATTTGCATTTTTTTTTTCTCGGATAGATGTATATATATGTGTATTTTCCAAAACAAAAATAAGATTGAATTAAATTGAGTTATATAATTAAATACCTGAAAAAATAGTTGCGATGAGGAGAAGACTAAAGAGCTGGAGCTTATAATTGGCCATTGATGAGCTGCTAAATGCTTCTTAATTAATTCACAAAGAGAGTTAGCTCAAAAATTATCAATTGCTAAGGTAATATTTAGTGAATGTTTTGTGTCTTAATTACTCTATAATCCCCAGCTTTTATAGGGTATGATGCGTGGATTAGGTGTGGGGGTAAAATTGTAAAATAGTAAAATTGAATGAACAAATGTCAAACTGTGGAAAAAACACCATAAATTCACTTTTGACCACGTGAAAACGAATCTCATAAAAAAAGAATAAATATATCTCACCTAGGATAATTAAAAAACGTGTTTTTTACTATTTTAGATTTTTTTTTTTGTATCTTTAGTAATTATTAGTGTGCTATCCGTGTGATGCACGGGTCAATTTTATCAAGATAAACATTTAAATTTATTGAAAAAACATAAAATACATGGATTAGAATAAAACAAAATGTAATTTATATATTATTAAATATATCCTTATACACAACATTATCTCTATCGCCACAAATTATATTAAGATTCTAGATACGCTTAAATAAATCA